GGGATAACGGGATAACGGGATAACGGGATAACGGGATAACAACGACACAATGGGATAACGGGATAACGGGATAACGGGATAACGGGATAACGGGATAACAACAGGACAATGGGATAACGGGATAACGGGATAACGGAATAACAACGTGACAATGGGATAACGGGATAACGGGATAATGGGATAACGGGATAACAACAGGACAATGGGATAGCAGGATAACGGGATAACGGGATAACAACATGACGATGGGACAATGGGATAACAACGGGACAATGGGATAACAACGGGACAACGGGATAACGGGATAACAACGGGACAACGGGATAACGGGATAACGGGATAACAACGTGACAACGGGATAACGGGACACCGGAGCTGGGACGGGATGGGACGGGCCCGTCGGGATCGGCATTCCCACGCGCCCGCCGCTCCCGGCCGGCAGGAGAAGGAGGCGGTGCTGGGCGCGCTGGCGGAGAAGGCGCGGCTGACGCAGGAGATGCTGAACCGCACGCCCGGCATGCGCTGCAACCCCGTGCAGGGCGCCATGTACGCCTTCCCCCGCATCGAGATCCCGGCGCGCGCCCTCGACGCCGCCAAGGTCCGGCGGCGCCCACACTGGGATGGGCGGGAGCGAACTGGGATGGGCGGGAGCGAACTGGGATGGGCGGGAGACAACTGGGATGGGTGGAATCCCAACTGGGATGGGCGGGAGCCAACTGGGATGGGCAGGAGGACACTGGGATGGGCGGGAGCGAACTGGGATGGGCGGGAGACAACTGGGATGGGCGGGATCCCAACTGGGATGGGGGGGAGCCAACTGGGATTGGGGGGAGGCAACTGGGATGGGTGGGAGACAACTGGGATGGGTGGAATCCCAACTGGGATGGGTGGGAGGACACTGGGATGGGCGGGAGACAACTGGGATGGGTGGAATCCCAACTGGGATGGGTGGGAGGACACTGGGATGGATGAGATCTGAACTGGGATGGATGAGATCTGAACTGGGATGGATGAGATCCCAACTGGGATGGGTGGGAGCCAAACTGGGATGGGCGGGAGGCAACTGGGATGGGCGGGAGACAACTGGGATGGGCAGGAGGACACTGGGATGGATGGAATCCCAACTGGGATGGGTGGGAGGCAACTGGGATGGGCGGGATCCCAACTGGGATGGGGGGGAGCCAACTGGGATGGGCAGGAGCCAAACTGGGATGGGTGGGAGCCAAACTGGGATGGGTGGGAGCGAACTGGGATGGGTGGAATCCCAACTGGGATGGATGGGAGTGAACTGGGATGGGCGGGATCCCAATTGGGATGGGTGGGAGCCAAACTGGGATGGGCGGGATCCCATCTGGGATGGGCGGGAGACAACTGGGATGGGCGGGAGACAACTGGGATGGGCGGGAGTGAACTGGGATGGGTGGAATCCCAACTGGGATGGATGGAATCCCAACTGGGATGGGAGGGATCCCAACTGGGATGGATGAGATGGGCAGGATCCCAACTGGGATGGATGGAATCCCAACTGGGATGGATGGAATCCCAACTGGAATGGATGGAATCCCAACTGGGATGGATGGGAGTGAACTGGGATGGGAGGGAGCTACCTGGAATGGATGGGATCCCAACTGGGAGATGTTGGAATGGGCGGAATCCCAAACTGGGAATGTCGGAATGGGCGGGATCCAAACTGGGATGGACGGGATCCCAACTGGGATGGACGGAGTCCGAACTGGGATGGGCAGGATCCCAACTGGGAGATGGTGGGATGGATGGGATCCATCCCAGGAGTTTTGGGATCCTCTGGGATCCATCCCAGGAGTTTTGGATCCGTTTGGATCCATCCCAGGAGTTTTGGGATCCACTGGAATCCATCCCAGGAGTTTTGGATCCATTTGGATCCATCCCAGGAGTTTTGGATCCGTTTGGATCCATCCCAGGAATTTTGGGATCCATCCCAGGAGTTTTGGGATCCATCCCAGGAGTTTTGGGATCCATCCCAGGAGTTTTGGGATCCATCCCAGGAGTTTTGGGATCCTCTGGGATCCATCCCAGGAGTTTTGGGATCCATTGGGATCCATCCCAGGAGTTTTGGGATCCATCCCAGGAGTTTTGGGATCCCTCCCGATCCATGTGGGCCTGGCGGGCTGGATCCCATTTTTTTGGGATCCCTCAGGATGGATCCCGATCCGCGTGGGCCCCGCGGGCTCAGATCCCGTTTTTTTGGGATCCCTCGGGATTCCTCCCGATCCGCGTGGGCCCCGCGGGCTGGATCCCGTTTTTTTGGGATCCCTCGGGATTCCTCCCGATCCGTGTGGGCCCCGCGGGCTGGATCCCATTTTTTCGGGATCCCTCGGGATGGATCCCGATCCGCGTGGGCCCCACGGGCTGGATCCCGTTTTTTCGGGATCCCTTGGGATCCCTCCCGATCCGCGTGGTCCCCGCGGGCTGGATCCCGTTTTTTTGGGATCCCTCGGGATGGATCCCGATCCGCGTGGTCCCCGCGGGCTGGATCCCGTTTTTTCGGGATCCCTCGGGATGGATCCCGATCCGTGTGGTCCCCGCGGGCTGGATCCCGTTTTTTCGGGATCCCTCGGGATTCCTCCCGATCCGCGTGGGCCCGGCGGGCTGGATCCCGTTTTTTCGGGATCCCTTGGGATTCCTCCCGATCCGCGTGGTCCCCGCGGGCTGGATCCCGTTTTTTTGGGATCCCTCGGGATGGATCCCAATCCGCGTGGTCCCCGCGGGCTGGATCCCGTTTTTTCGGGATCCCTCGGGATGGATCCCGATCCGCGTGGGCCCCGCGGGCTCGGATCCCGTTTTTTCGGGATCCCTCGGGATTCCTCCCGATCCGCGTGGTCCCCGCGGGCTCAGATCCCGTTTTTTTGGGATCCCTCGGGATGGATCCCAATCTGCGTGGGCCCGGCGGGCTGGATCCCATTTTTTTGGGATCCCTCGGGATGGATCCCGATCCGTGTGGGCCCGGCGGGCTGGATCCCGTTTTTTCGGGATCCCTCGGGATGGATCCCGATCCGCGTGGTCCCCGCGGGCTCAGATCCCGTTTTTTTGGGATCCCTCGGGATGGATCCCAATCCGCGTGGGCCCCGCGGGCTGGATCCCGTTTTTTCGGGATCCCTCGGGATCCCTCCCGATCCGCGTGGGCTCCGCGGGGTCAGATCCCGTTTTTTTGGGATCCCTCTGGATCCCTCCCGATCCGCATGGGCCCGGCGGGCTGGATCCCGTTTTTTTGGGATCCCTCGGGATTCCTCCCGATCCGCGTGGGTCCGGCGGGCTGGATCCCGTTTTTTTGGGATCCCTCGGGATGGATCCCGATCCGTGTGGTCCCCGCGGGCTGGATCCCATTTTTTCGGGATACCTCGGGATGGATCCCGATCCGCGTGGGCCCAGCGGGCTGGATCCCGTTTTCCCGACCCCGCGGCCCGTCCGGAATTCCCAGGAGAAGAAGCAGGCCCCGGACATGTTCTTCTGCATGCGGCTCCTGGAGGAGACCGGGATCTGCGTGGTGCCGGGCAGCGGCTTCGGCCAGAAGGAGGGCACCTACCACTTCCGGTGGGTTCCCGGAATTCCCATCCCGGAATTCCTGATCCGGGGGAAATCCGTCCCAAAATTCCTGATCCTGAGAGGTCTCAGCCCAAATTCCTGATCCTGGGGGAATTCCATCCCAAAATTCCTGATTCTGGGGGAATCCCATCCCGAAATTCCTGATCCGGGGGGAATTCCATCCCAAAATTCCTGATCCGGGCAGATCCCATCCCAAAATTCCTGATTCTGGGGGAATCCCATCCCAAAATTCCTGATCCGGGGGGAATCCCATCCCGAAATTCCTGATCCTGAGAGGTCTCACTCCAAATTCCTGATTCTGGGGGAATCCCATCCCAAAATTCCTGATCCGGGCAGATCCCATCCCAAAATTCCTGATCCTGGGGGAATTCCATCCCAAAATTCCTGATCCGGGGGGAATCCCATCCCGAAATTCCTGATCCGGGGGGAATCCATCCCAAAATTCCTGATCCTGGGGGAATTCCATCCCGAAATTCCTGATCGGGGCAGATTCCGTCCCGAAATTCCTGATCCTGAGAGGTCCCATCCCGAAATTCCTGATCCGGGGGAAATCCGTCCCAAAATTCCTCATCCTGGGGGAATCCCATCCCGAAATTCCTGATTCTAAAAAAAATCCAACCCCAAATTCCCTGTTCCTAAAAAATCCCACCCAAATTCAATGTTCTTGAGAGATCCCATCCCAAAATTCCTGATCCAGGGAAATCCCATCCCAAAATTCCTGATCCTGGGAGATTCCATCCCAAATTCCCAAATCTCAAATCCCAAATACCAAAATCCCTGATCCCAAATCCCCAAATCCCCAAAATCCCAATTTCCAAATCCAAATTCCCAAAATCCCAAACCCCCAAAATTCTGATACTAAATCACCAAATCCCAAACCCCAAAATCCCAAACCCCAAAATCCGAAATCCCAAATCCCAATTCCTAAAATCCCAAAATCCCCAAAATCCCCAAATCCCCAAAATCCCAAATCCCAAAATCCCAAAATCCCAAAATCCCAAAACCCCAAAATCCCCAAAATCCCAAAATCCCAAAATCCCCAAAATCCCAAAATCCCAAAATCCCAATTTCCAAATCCCAAAATCCCAAAATCCCAAAACCCCAAAACCCCAAAATCCCCAAATCCCCAAATCCCAATTCCCAAAATCCCAAATCTCAAATCCCAAAATCCCAAATCCCAAAATTCCGCCTCAACTTTTACAATTCCTGGGCCAAAAAATCAGGAAAAAAATCCGGGTTTTTTTCATTTTTTTTCATTTTTTCCCCGTTTTTTTTTATTTCCCCCCCAAATTTCTGCCCAAAAATTCCCGAATTTTTTTTGGGACGCTCCCCGGTGCCTTTTCCCAAATTTGTTTTGGGATTTCCTCCCCCCCAGCATGACCCATCCCCAATCCCAAACCCCAAATCCCCAAAATTCTCATCCTAAATCACCAAATCCCAATTCCCAAAATCCCAAATCCCAAAATCCCAAAATCCCAAATCCCAAAATTCCGCCTCAACTTTTACAATTCCTGGGCCAAAAAATCAAGAAAAAAAATCCGATTTCTTTTCATTTTTCGGCCATTTTTTCCCCGTTTTTTTTTATTTTCCCCCCAAATTTCCGCCCAAAAATTCCCGAATTTTTTTGGGACGCTCCCTGGTGCCTTTTCCCAAATTTTTTTTGGGATTTCCCCCCAGCATGACCATCCTGCCGCCCACGGAGAAGCTGAAGCTGCTCCTGGAGAAGCTCGGCCAATTCTACACCAAATTCGTCCAGGAGTTCTCCTGATTTGCATAACCACGCCCCCTCATTTGCATAACACCGCCCTCCTCATTTGCATGGCCACGCCTCCCCCCAAACATCCCGCCAGGAATTTTTGGGGTTTTTTTGGGAATTTCGGGGCTGGATCCCCCCAATCCCAAAACGTTCCCGAATAAAGGCGGCGACCAGAGGGGGCTGGAATTCGGATTTTGGGGAATTTTGGGGAATTTTGGGGAATTTTGGGGAATTTTGGGATGGATTTTTGGGGGATGGATTTGGGGATTTTGGGGAATTTTGGGGTTGAATTTTGGGAATTTTGGAAATTCAGAATTTGGGGGTTTTGGGGAGGGATTTGGGAGGTTTTGGGGAATTTTGGAAATTCAGAATTTGGGGATTTTTGGGAATTTGGGGGATTTGGGGATTTTGAGATGGATTTGGGGGATTTTTGGGATATTTGGAAATTCAGAATTTGGGGGATTTTGGGGAACTTTGGGGTTGAAATTTGGGGATTTTGGGATGGATTTGGGGGATTTTTGGGAATTTTGGGGTTGATTTTTGGGATTTTTGGGAATTTTTGGGATTTTTGGGATTGATTTGGGGGATTTGGGGGTGGAATTTTGGGGAATTTTGGGGTGGAATTTTGGGATGGATTTTGGGAATTTTGGGGAATTTTGGGGTTGAAATTTGGGGATTTTGGGATGGATTTTGGGGATTTTTGGGATTTGTGGGAGGGGTTTTTATGGGATGGAGGGAATTTTTGGGGTGGGTGGGATTTGGAGTCAGGGGAATTCTGGGAAGTTTTTCCCTTGGGAATTCCGGCTCCTCCAATTTGAGAATTCCGGCTCCAATCCTTGGGAATTCCGGCTCCAGTTTTTGGGAATTCCGGCTCCAATCCTTGGGAATTCTGGCTCCAATCCTCGGGAATTCCGGCTCCAGTTTTTGGGAATTCCGGCTCCAATCCTTGGGAATTCCGGCTCCAGTTTTTGGGAATTCTGGCTCCAAAACTTGGGAATTCCAGCTCCAATCCTTGGGAATTCTGGTTCCTTAAATCCTTGGGAATTCCGGTTCCAATCCTTGGGAATTCCAGCTCCAATTTTTGGGAATTCCAGTTCCAATTTTTGGGAATTCTGGCTCCATTTTGGGGTTGGAATGGGATTTTGGTCCGGATTTTTTCCGGGATCCCGGCCGGGATCGTTCGGCTCCGGGTTCTGCCGTGGAATTCCCGCGCGAAGTCAAATCCGGAGTTTCCGGAGCTGCTTCCCGAAAAATCCCGGATTGGGATTGGGGATCCCGGGGG